ACTAACTAACTAACTAACTAACTAACTAACTAACTAACTAACTAACTAACTAACTAACTACTAACTAACTAACTAACTAACTAACTAACTAAACTAACTAACTACTAACTAACTAACTAACTAACTAACTAACTACTAACCTAACTAACGAACTAACTAACTAACGAACTACAACTAACTAAACTACTAACTAACTAACTAACTAACTACTACTAACTAACTAACTAACTAACTAACTAACTAACTAACTAACTACAACTAACTAACTAACTAACTAACTAACTAACCAACTAACTATAACTAACTAACTCAACTAACTAACTAACTAACTAACTAACTAACAACTAACTAACTACGAACTAACTACTAATAACTAACTAACTAACTAACCTAATCAACTAACTAACTAACTAACTAACTAACTAACACTAATAACTAAATACTAACTAACGAACTAACTACTAACTACTAACTAACTAACTAACTAACTAACTAACTAACTAACTAACTAACTAACTAACTAACTAACAACTAACTAACTAAAACTAACTAACTAACTACTAACTAACTAACTAACTAACTAACTAACTAACTAACTACTACTAACTAACTACTAACTACTAACTACTAACTAACTACTAACTACTACCTAACTAACTAACTACTAACTAACTAACTAACTAACTAACTAACTAACTAACTAACATCTAACTAACTTAACTAACTAACTAATAACTAACTAACTAACATAACCTAACTAACTCAACTAACTAACTACTAACTAACTAAACTAACTAACTAACTAACTAACTAACTAGCACTAACCTAACTAACGAACGTAACTAACTAACTAACTAACTAACTAATAACTAACTACAACTAACTAACTAACTAACTAACTAACTAACTAACTAACTAACTAACTAACTAACTAACTAACTAACTAACTAACTAACTAACTAACTAACTAACTAACTATAACTAACTAACTAACTAACTAACTAACTAACTGACTAACTAACTACTTAGTGATCGGTCCAAAATTGATCTATAAAATGCCCTATTCAGAAAATTACACTAATGCTCCAACAGTACTCTGATATCGATCTTGCGTCACGGATGTCGAAGTGTTTCACGTGAGTACCTGCCGTGTTGGCCTATCTCACGGTGGTCTTTTTCAACCACACAGAGTGAGCTTTGTGAGGACTTACCACCGACTTGCCACCTGCGTTTGTTACACGTATGTGGCAATTTACGTATATGGATGCCGGTTCAATATACGCGCACTTTGCTCAAGTACTTGATCTATCTAATCTCTGACCATTGCTGTCCCTTTGCTTAACTTCCGAGATTTAAAACATCTCTTCCGTTTACAACCACGCAGATGAGATGGCCTCTGTTGAGTCGACAACAACACCTAGAGAAGTAACCGGTAGACCGAAGTACTAATTCAACAAACAAGCCGAGACTTTGCTCTTACTCATAGTGACACTGTGGTAATTCTGATATGAACAGAGTTTACTCTGAATATATCTGGACAAGGAAGGAAGATTCAATGGTATCATTTGTATATGATACCTTTCATCCATCGTTATTCATCCCAGCACACTTCTCATGTATCCGACACACTCATAAGAGGAAAACATACGACATAGTTATTCTAGGTAAACGGGTGGGTGAGGCCCGCATACCCCACATTCATCCCGTACCATATACAATTAACACCAACCCATTTCCATTGCTTAGTCCCACATTCACTTCTCTGTGGGTTATCTATTGTTCTCGGCAACAGTACCGAACTTATCCGGAAAAATTTACCTTACCTTACATCAGTCCTTTAACCGCCACTTACTCCTCCCGCAAATTTGGATTTAAACCATAGCCACTACGTGGATTTTGAAGGAATCAGATTATGTGGTTCTCTGGTTAGACCCCATGTCAAATCATAGCAAGGACTAGCCGAGGAGTGAAGTGACATCACCAGTTTATAGTCCCGGATTGCAATACACCAAAATGCAGATATATCATCAAGGAATCATTCCCGAGGGGCGATCTTGTGTCAATGAAATTCAACATAAATCCATCAAAAGCCTTATTCCTTGAATTTTGATTACAAAATTTAGCTTTCGAAAACACTGTTCGAAGTGGCTGTCAAGAAACACACTCCCATCATGACAAAAGAAACACAAATTCATACACTTCGGTAAACAAACATATATACATATGTTCATATGTATGTATATATGTATATATTTTTTCTTTACTGTCAATGTCTCATCATTTTCCTCTTTTTTTAATTTCTGCATCTGGCCTGCTTTAAACTTCCTATCAAAGTGTTTTTTTTTAACAATTTAGCATAAAGAATTTTCGTTGTTGCAACTACTTCTTGTACAAATAACTGACTTCTTCTTTTTGACAATATTTGGAGTTTTTAATCATTTGTTGTTGTCATAGCTCCCTGTCAATTCTACATAACCAGTAGCTTCATGGTCAATTAGACGCACAAATACGCATACATATATTTATTTTTTTAATTTTAATTGAAAAAATCGAAAAAATGAATGAAAATTATTAAGCTTAATAGTAAATTATTTTCTTTGATTTTTTTCTATGGCTGCTGAAAAAAATGGAAAATCCATGTTTTAAGTGTTTAAAAACGAAACACAAGTGATTTTAATTTTTCTTGTCATTAGTTACTGCCAAAAATAAACAAAATATGTATTCATCATTTTTACGAAGCATCAGCATGTTGCTTCTTCAAACTACTACTACTTACTGCCACTTCTACTTATTTAAACATTTTTGTATGCGAAATTTTGTGCAACTTTTTGATGTCATTCATTATTTAAGACCAAATAGGAGTTATAGACAAAAAATCAAAATAAATTGAACATTACTTAAATTCAATCATTTAATGTGATTTTTCATTATTAACCACACTCAGTTAGTTTATATGTATACTAGCATACCCTGGGTGCTTCGCTACCCTAATCAAAATAAAATACATATACAATTTTGTTTACTTTTATAGAAAAAAAAAAAAAATTAAATTGATTAAGATTTTTTTTAATGTTTCAGTTTTTTACGTTCAATATCACTTGAATAACTTCGCATTCAGGAAGAAGCTTGTATTTTGAGTTTCATTCGTTAGCTTCCACATTATAGAAAATTTTTAAAGTACTATTTGAAAAAAAGTACTATAAAATACCTCTTATAGACTCTCATTTAATAAAAAATTTTATGTTTCTGTGCTCAATATCATATATAATTCAAAATATGTAATTTGATGAATGAAAAAGTACCAAAAGTCCCTTCCAGTAGATTCTCATTCACTAAGATCCCTACATTTTATATTTCTATGTTTAATATCGTAAAAATATCAAAAAGTACCATAAAAAAAAAGTACTAAAAAGTTCTCTCTTAAAGAATCTTATTCAATGAAGACCGTGTATGTTTAATAATCATGTATATGTTTAATAACTTTATAGAACATACAAAGAGTATCATTTGAAAAAAGAAAAAGTACCAAAAGTGGAATAAATTCTACTTTAGTAGAAAGTACTAATAAAAAGAGTACAATTTTTCCCTTTTACGCTTAGAAATATACTTTTTCGAGAATTAAGTTTACAAAATGTTGCGTATTTAAATCTTTATATCACAGATACAACTCAAAGGATTCAAATCTTCATTCATTTGTTCCAGAAAATTGGTGCTTCCAAAAAGGTACCAAACTATTTACTCGAATTTGGTCCTATATAGATAGGTCTTAGTACTCGAATTCCAAAATAATATACCAATAGCTTATTTTGTGTGAGTAAATAAACTATTTTTTCAAATATTATAAAAATTGGCTCAATGAGTTTGAATAAAATTAAATTTCCCGGTTTTCCCCTTTTTGGTACTTTTTCACCAGTGAAATAGCAAACATTTTGTTTCAATAAATATTACAGAGTTAGGCCGTAATTTAATAGGTGTACTTCAATAAAACGAAAAAGTTTTCTTAATGTGCTAAAAAAAGTACCATAAATACAGTTTTCTCCCTTTTACACCCAAAAAGGGCTGAATTTTAAAAAAGTACGAAACAGGTGTTTTCTAATTTTTGGAGATATATTCAAAATATTTACAAAAATTTTATTTTGTTTATTAGTTAAAAAGTTATAAAGGGCCAAAAAAGGTACCAAAATCACCTTTGTTACACATTTTCACCCCTTAAAAGTATGAATTTCAAAAAAGTACCAGACACCCATCTGCTCATTTTAAGAGTAGATACAGGTGCATTTAGAATTTTTCTTGTATCACTAATGTTAGGTAAGATAATTAAGAAAACCTGTTTTACCAGTTTTCTCCCTTTTTTATCCGTAAATGTACAAAATTTCCAAAAATCCCTCCTTAGTGGATCTATATAACCAAAAACACATCTACTGTCAAAATTTCATGATTCTAGATTCAGCCGCTTGGGCTGTGCGATGATGAATCAGTCAGTCAGTAACACTACTCTTTTATATATATAGATTGTACAATTTTTATGGCGTTAATGAAGAAGTTAAAAATCATTTTTATTTGTAAAATTCATTAATTATGACAGCAGCGAAGGAAATACCACAGCAAAAATATTTAATTAAAAAAAAAAAATATATCGAACAAATTTGGCTGCAAATGAAATTCTTTTTGGCAATAAATTCAACATAGTGTAGGTATTAATTTGGTAACTATGCATTTATTTCATAATGTTTACAGTGAAAATATGACCGTAAATGAAAACAGAAAAATTAATTTGTTCAAGAATTCACAACTTGTTTCAACATTTTAGCAAATTATAGACAAAAATACAGAAAATAAGTTATGAAAACAAAAAATACTCATACTGATGATGACTTTTACTTTATAAATTTCAAAATTCAGTTGTATAGACGTAACACGAGTAACTAGATCTTGTGTAATAGTTAAAATTGTATGATTTTTGCAGCATACTTTTAAGCTCTTTTCAAACTTCATAAACATTAATATTTTCCAAACTTTTTGTGTATTAATAATTCCATTATAAAAACTACAATAGCTGCGGTGATGGCTATAATAAAATACAACCAAATCCAATACAGATCATGCAAATATAAAGGACTAACTAATGTGGGATAAGTAATATTAATATGAATCACCTTGCCCGCAGTAACTGCATCAATATACGACTTGCTCATCCAATATTCCAGGAGACCAGATTGCATGGTGTTCATTATAATTTCATTGATGCGTGTTAGAAAATATGAATTTGGTCCAAGTGGGAATTGGAAAAGCATCATTGTATTGGGACACATTTTTGAAGAATAACGAAAAAACTTTGTGCCATAAAAGGATTCCAAGCCACTATAGTATAGCATTTTCGAGGTAGTGGTGGGATAGGCAAAACGACGATCGAATGTATCACGAAAACGGGAATATTCCACAAAATTAGCAAATGTATGAAACTTTTTATATAAGTAGACTAAAGAACCATTTGTGATATTATGTAAATAATCAATTTCCGTTTTAGTTATAGCCAGTTTTAAAGAAGATTTAGCTAGATTTTGATAGCTATCTATTTCTGGTTCCAAAGGCGGCTGAGTGTTAAAAGATAGTAAATAACTGCCAAAAATGGAGGAAATAGTTAAGCCCGATAGCAGCAACATTAAGTGAATAAGTTTTAAAGCATATGTTTTATCCTTAGAGATTACAAAACCTTGACCCAATACTCCTCTTATGGCTTTATCGTTTATTATAATTTCAGGCCATCTGTGGCCGCCGCATTGATGATTTTTACTCCCGGCTAAATAAAAAACCATGGTAAATATTGTTATTAAAATCATGGTGATAAACATTATCTGAGAATGCAAAATTATAAGAAATACTTCTTTAAAATCCAAAGGTTTTTCCATGGGTAAAAGTATGCACCATTTGCCCATTTCAAAGGGGTATGAAAAATCATGCTGATCATCAAACTCAAATAAAGACAAAGAACTAACTGGTATATCAAGTGAGTAGTTGCTAACATAGCCCATGATATCTCTATAATCCAGCATAACATCAGGTGGTACTTTCAGAGGAAAATAAAGGCTGGCATTTAGAATTTCACTTATAGTTTTCACAAAACGTCCTATATAACCATTAAGTTTAGTTTCATTATTTTCATTATAATATTCCATAGCTCTTGGTTCTATGTGATCTGCTATAGTGCGCAATTTATAGCCTTTTAAATTGCGTAAACGTTCTGGTAATATATGAAAATCCAAGCTAAGGGGATTATATTTTCCAAATTCCATTTGAAACTCCGGAAATATGTTATATTGCACATATCTATACGATTTATAGAAATCTTTAAAAATTATCAACACATTTAACATTTTTAATTTAAAACAATATCGGCAGAAATCATTTACATCCTTCAATTTCAACTTTCCACTCCACAGATCCATTATAATAATTATTCTTATATAACGCATATAATTTAAAATTTTTGCCAATTGCTCTAAAACATTATAATGGTAAGATGTCATACAAACTATAGCTATAATTTGATTATTATAATAATTGCGATATGGTTCTGTTGTATTGCCAGTAATTATAATAACTGGTATTTTTTGCATTATAAAATATTCCAGAAAATTGTTGCAATATTGATGTTTACCACCTTCGTTGAGTATTAGACCACCTTCATAGTGATTTTGTTGATATAATTTTTTTAGAAAATCTTCATCAAATTTTTGCTCATTTTTATTAATTTTCAGTTCATTTGTTAATATTTTACTATATGTTATTTGTAGTGTTATTATAGCGTACGAAGCGAGTAAAATAAAGAATATTTTAAGCATTTTACTGTAGAGCTTTAGGTTTCTTGAACTTAAAATTATGACTGAGATTATTTGTATTTCCGTGTAATAATTTATAGTATATAGATAAATACATAACCAAATATAAATTTTTACATGTTGATATTTACACATGGGGAATTTCATGTCAAGTGACCCAACACAAAACCCCCTCTGACTCCGGCAGTTCTTGACCGATAGAGCTGAAAACTTGTATCTAGCCTAATATCCAATAGTACTAACCTGGGTGCTAATTTCATCCAAATCGGAAGTCATCGATTTTAAAAGTTGCGTCACTTGACACGAAATTTCCCATATACACTAAATATAAACGCATAATGCCGTGGACGTATACTTATTATTCAATTATAATAATGAGTATTCATTAGGGTGGCCACGTTCGTCTTTAGAAAACATAAGCGAGTGCTTGGTTCATTCTTGGTTCTCCTGTGGTCAATATACATATGGTGAGCTGGGTCAAAGGATAAAAAAGTCCTTTTTAGGGCTTTTTAATATTTTTATTATAATAGGAAATATTGATATCTTATGAAAGGTCTTTAAATTTTGTATCATGCAAATTTAAAAATGGGTTCACGTAATATTCTAATTCGTCCGTCTTTCTGTTGTTGGCACGATCGTGTTCACAAAAAAAGAGATAGGGAGATTAAATTTTTCCAAAATATTCTTTATTGATCAGAAATGTTTGGTATTGAAAATGGGCAAATGCGGTCAACGATTTCGCATAGCCCCCTTACAAATGTACCCCCAGGAATATGGTGTAAAAAGCTTCAAACATTAACAAATTCGTATAAGTAAGTTTTAGATTCTGGATTATGGCGAACATAGGACCATAATTGGCTCTACCGCCCATATACTTAAGGTCCCCTGTAGAAATTACTATAACGCTTATTACCGGCTTATAAATAACTGTGTGGTGACAAAATTCGACATAAATAAGTTCCATATACGACCCCTCTAGTGGTGTCACTTGACACGAAATTCTCCATGTACACTAAATATAAACGCATAACATCGTGGACGTATACTTATTATTCAATTATAATAATGAGTATACATTAGGGTGGCCACGTTTGTATTTAGAAAACATGATACCGTTTCTCAAAACTTGCCTCCTGTAGTCAATATTATATGAAAGGTCTTTCAATGGTGTATCATACCTTTGTGCTAATTCAAAAATGGGTTCTCGTAAGATTCTAAAACGATCTAGCTATGTCCGTCTTTCTGTCTGTTTTTGGCACGATAAATGAAATCTTACCAAAATATTCTTTATTGATCAGAAATGTTTGGTATTGAAAATGGATTTCACATAGCCCCCATACAAATGTACCCCCAGGAATATTGTGTAAAATGGTTCAAAAATTCACAAATTCGTTGATTATGAAGCAAATGCGTCAACATTTCGTATAAGTAAGTTTTAGATTCTGAATTATGGCGTACATATGACCATAATTCCACTCATTTAAACATATTTAAGATACGAGACGACGCCTACAGCCGAACGTGTCTTTACTTTAAGCGAACTGGGCAAAAGCGGTTATAGGACACGTCATCGATGTATACTGGACACATTGGAAGGTTATACACAATATTCTGTGTCTGGTCGCATATCAGATAGAAAGCTCGATGCAGTTAACCTGTCAAACGCAAAACTATTCGACTCAACAAAAGCTGAACTAAAAATATGTGTGAGAGAATCCCATAAAGCCTCTTGGAATATTTAATGTTATTCCGGAAATAACATTCCTGACTTATTATTATTATTATGAACCGATTATTAAGTAGAATGATTTTAGTTTATATAAGACTTGTTTATTTTGAATTTTATTGCTATAGTGACATTTTTAAGCTAGATCGGTAGTGTATCTAGCTGTATCTAAATAGGTTCACTGTTTTGTTCACATTCAAATTAATTATTTGCAAAAAGTAAAGAACTAATTAGTAATTTTATAATTTTAGATAATAACATGATGTCTTTGGTATCACTAGTAAGACAAAAATTAGCGAAATATTAGGTATTTTAAGTAATTTTTTTTCTAACATACTACGTTTTTTACCTATATTTTTTTGGTTCCCTTGATTAGGTTCATTCCGAATAAAATCAGTTTACTGCTGGCAGTGGAAAAAATCTATTCATATTCTGGTGTCTGTGAATATAGACATATATTTTTTAAAAAATAGGCCGCGGTAAGCCATTGACTGAAGAATAAAATGGCAAAATATTAGCGTTTTTGGAAACTGTACAAAATCACAGGAATTTGGCAAAAAAAAATTGGGCAAATTCAGAATGTTATTCGCAATTTTATAAGAAAACAGTCTGAATATTAAGAAAACATTAATGAACGGACATATGGAGTCATAACAAAAGAAGACAGAAGAGATTTCATAAAATCTGGCTCCTAGTCAAGTGATTCTGCAGATTGATTCTGAGAATTGAATAAAAAGTGGGTGTTACAGCAAGCCTAGCTGCAGTAAAACGTATTGTAAGAAGGGTCAAGGCTTTAACAATATTAAAAAATTAATAAAAACCTTTCCAATTGCCACTCGTAATGAAAAACCCTCTTCAGTTTGCACATGAACACATGGTTATAAAAAAATATCAACATCTTGTTTTTTCGGATGAAAAAAGTTTTATTTAGAAGGTCCAGATCGATATAATAATTATTTTTATGATTTTTGAAATTAAGAGCTCTACCTGAGTTGTCTGCATAGCTGTGGAGGATGTTGGATGTATTGGGGGGCAATTTCGTATTATGAAACATGTGAGCTTCAATTTCTTTCATCTAGTAGGAATTGTAATAATTATAATGCCATACTGGAAACAGCTTTTTTCACATTTTTGGATATCTTTGAACCCCGATCCTAACCGCCAGGGCTGTAAATGGATGGATTCGATGCCAGAATGCAAAAATTTTGGAATAGCCTTCATAATCTTCTCACCTATTTATTATTGAAAATGTTTCGGATATTCTTTCTCGGGTAGACAGTATAACACAAAAGAAACCTAAATTGAAGGAACTAAAAAGGCTTGGACCGAAATTTCCTTGTTATTACTTAAGAATCTTAATAACTCTTTATCACCTCGAATTTTCGAAGTTATCTCAAGTAACGGCGGATATGTTTCTTACTCAATCTTTTCTAAAACCTTGTAGAAATATTTATAAAAATAAAAAAGTTTATTGAAAAACGCATTTTGTTGTTGTTTTTGTAAATTAAAGATGATGAACCTATTCAAATGAGCCAAAAAAATATTGTTCAAAAACGTAGTGTTGTAGAAAAAATTTTTTTTTAAAAATCGGTTATTAAGTATTGCACTAATGTTTGTCTATCTAGTGATACATAAGACATTATGCTATTAATTAAAATTTTAATATAACCAACTAGTCCATTATTTTTTGCAAAAAATTAATTTGAATGTAAACAAAATAGTGAATCTATTTAAGTGAGCGGGAGTGTATGAGTGTTGAAGAAGTTTTCTGAAGGGAATTCACATGAAGGGTAGGGTCAAATATGGTGCTATCCTCATACAATTAAGTGAGGAGATTTGTATTTCTATAGGACTACCATAAGTTGAATTGTATTACCGTAGTGGTATATTTTAGCTAGTTATAAGCGTTAATGTCACTTTCTAAAGGGGACCTTAGAAAGGTAGGATGAAATTTGGTCCGATCCGCATAAAATGAAGTAGTATGATTAAAGATTTGTATTAGACTTGTTTATGTCGAATTTTATCAATATACTGGTATTCGTATGCTAGTTATAAGCTTTAATGCCCTTTTGTGCAGAGAATCTTAAGAGAGGGTAGGAGTGTGTTTTGTTGGTTAATGTCAATTATGTACCGATCCTTATAACCGATCCTTTAAAAATTTTAATTCCTATAAAACTTGTTTATTTTTTATTCACAACAAGGTTTCGAGTGGCAATTTGCTAATCGGTCAATTACTACAATACTGGCATAACTCGAAAGGTTTTTGAACTATCTATATACGGTAAAGGATAATAAAACATTTTTAATTCTTTCTTTTCACAGCATATACCAATATTTTTTATATTTTGAGTGTCTATTTCTGCAAGTATAGGTAGATAATAAAACATCATTGTTGTAAAATATTAAAATTTTATTTTTTACATTTTTTATTTACTAAAAGTTCTAGTACAAATACTAAAATAGCAACTGAAATTGCCATGAAATAATATAACCAAATCCAGTACAAATCATTTACATAAATTGGACTAGCATAATCGGGATAGGTAATGTTTACACGAATCGCTTTTCCTGCAGCTACCATATCCAAATAAGATTTACTCATCCAATAATCTATAAGACCAGATTGCAAGGTGTTCAGTATTATTTCGTTAATGCGTGGTATAAAGTAAGAATTTGGACCCAGAGGAAACTCAAACTGCATCATTGTATTGGGACACATATTTGAGGAAAAACGAAAAAACTTCTTGCTATAGTGAGATTCCAAACCATTGTAGTAGTATAATTTTGAGGTGGTGGTGGGATAGGCAAAACGACGATCTAAAGAATCACGAAAACGTGAGTATTCCGCAAAACTGGAAAAAGTCTGGAGTTTTGAATATAAAAACGATAGAGAGCCATTTGTTATATTATGTAAATATGTAATTTCTGGTCTAGCTATAGCTAATTTTAAAGATGATTTTTCCAGATCTTGGTAGTTGTTAATACATGGTTCGGAAGGTAGTTGAGTGGAAAACGACAGCATGTAGCAATCAAAAATGATGGATATAGTTAAACCAGATAGCATTAACATTATGTAAATTAATTTTAATGAAAGTTTGCTATAGACGGAAGACACAAAACCTTGACCCAACACGCCACGTATGGCTGTATCATTAATTATTATTTCTGGCCATCTGTGGAGACAATAATGACACCGCTTCTTACCCAAAGCCAAATAGAAGAACATGGTAAATATTACTATTAAAACCATAGTGATAAGCATTATTTGAGAATGTAAAATTAGAAGAAATAGCTCTTTATAATCCAAAGGTTTTTCCATGGGCAAAAGTATACACCATTTGCCTATTTCAAAAGGATATGAAAAATCACGCTGATCATCAAACTCATATAAGGACAAAGAGCTGACTGGTATATCGATTGAGTAGTTGACAACATAACTCATCACATCCCGATATTCCAGCATAACATCAGGTGGTACTTTAAGAGGAAAATATAGTGAGGAATTTAAGGTTTCACTTATAGTTTGCACAAAACGTCCAATATAACCATTGAGTACAGTTTCATTACTTTCATTATAATATTCCATAGCTCGTGGTTCCGTGTGATCTGCTATAGTACGCAATTTATAACCTTTTAGATTTTGCAAACGTTCGGGTAACATATAGAAATCACTGCTATTTGGATTATATATATCAAATTCCATTTTAAATTCGGGAAATATGGTATATTGCACATATTTACGTGTTTTATAAAAATCTCTGAAAATGATCACCACATTTAACATTTTCAATTTGTGACAATAATGAAAAAAATCCTCAAGTTCTTCTGCATTTAGCTCTTTCGTCCATTGATCCATTATGACCACTATTCTTATATAACGCATGTAATCCAAAATTTTTGCCAATTGTTCCAAAATATTGTAATAATATGAACTC